CTCTCTGTGCCCTGCCTCAGGGGAGGTTTGTTTGAAGAGGCCAAAGCCAAGACACCTGGCTTTTGTTTCCCCAAAGCTCAGACTCCCCGAGGGAGCTCAGGCCAGCAGCTGAAAAGGAACTGACGGGAGGAGGCCTTGAGAGCCAGGTGACAGGGACGGGAGCAGCGGGGAGAGAGAGGTTTCCGAGGATGACAAGGGAGGTGGGATGATGGCTATAGGATCAGGCCACCAGCGGGGACACCTGGGAAAGTGTCAGTGCCTCAAAGAAGATGGGCTTTGCTGAGTTAAACCCACCGGCCCCCAGGCCCAGGCCTCCAGACCCAGCCACAGCAGAGCTACAGCGCTCGGGATGCCCACACAGACAGAAAGGGCAGAAAGGAGCGGACACAGACACGGAGTCCAACCGGGAACCTGAACAGTGACATCTGCTACCCACCAAGCCTGGTTCCAGGATCCAAAGGACAGGAAGAGGCACTCCTCGGGACAACCCTGAATTCCCGTGGACATTGGGAGGGAAACTGAGACACACAGTGTGGACGTGAGAGTCAGACAGAATACCGACTAAGCTGTCAACATACTGTAACACGTTCGTTCGGAGTGACATGCAATGTCCTCCCCCAAACTAACAGTACCCACTCTTTTTTTGGGGGGCGGTGGTTTCGAGACAGGGTTTCTCTGTGTAGCTTTGCGCCTTTCCTGGAACTCACTCTGTAGACCAGGCTGGCCTCGAACTCACAGAGATCCACCTGCCTCTGCCTCCCGAGTGCTGGGATTAAAGGCGTGCGCCACCACCGCCCGGCAGTACCCACTCTTGACGTGGGTGCTGTGAAACTGCCACAGGGCCTGGGGTCTTGTGTAGGTCACCAGCCCTGTACCTGCTGCTTCCAGTGAATTGACGATGGGGATGGCCTTCCGCCAAGGAAGCAGCCGTGGACATGTGCAGAGCAAACCACCCAGGAGAGATGGCCTGAGACTCCAGGGTCTTTTTGCAATGTGCTGACTTCCCTTTCATACCTTGTTTTTTGTTTTTTGTTTTTGGTTGGTTGGTTGGGTTTATTTATTTTATTTTATTTTATTTTATTTTATTTTATTTTATTTTATTTTATTTTATTTTATTTTATTTTTGAGACAGGGTTTCTCTGTGTGGACCTGGCTATCCTGGAACTCGCTCTGTAGACCAGGCTGGCCTGGAACTCACAGAGATCCGCCTGCCTCTGCCTTCCCTTTCATACCCCGTTAGCACTGCCTGCCCTTCTTTGTTCAGTCATGCTTTTTCCATCAGTAAAATTGCAATCCATTAAGCACCTACCACAAGAGTCCAGCATTGAATGATGTTAGGAGCACTGTTTCTAGCTACTGGGTGTCTGACATTGCTGAGAACTAAAGCTACCCTTCTCCAATAGCCACAGTCTAGTGGGTGGGAGACAGATCAAAGGGCTTTCAGTGCAATGGAAGAAGTGATATGCATCGTCCCATGTCCTGGGACCTTACTCATACTGCATGAACAAGGAGAGGTTCCTGCAGAAGTTAATGGCCTGAACCTTTGCAAACAACAGTGACCTCTACCTCATGGTGGGATGAAATAGTGACCCCCTTCTGTCCCCTTCCCACCCTTAAGAATGGCTGCGGGGTCCAAGCACACCCTGATCATGACTCCAGCAGTGAATCCGAGAGCACAGAGCAGTGAATAACTTGTATCACCGTGGGCCTCACACCCAACCTACTGAGAAGCCAAGAGTGCTCAGGGCAGCCAGTCATCCCACAACCCAAATTTCCAGCCTTGGCTGGAGTGAGAGGTGTAAAGGGAATTTTCCATGTGTTGATTAAGTTCATTGGCCATGCGACACAGAAAGGAAATGTAAACGTAGGATCCTGGTTGGCCAAGTTCAAAGGCCTCTGGGTGTGATTCCCAGGTAGAGATCTGCAAGTTATTAAAAGCGTGGACCCAATTTCCAAAATACAGAAGTTGTGAAGAAACACCGGCCTGCCATGTCAGGGGTCAGAACACACAGCCACAGGAAAGAGATCCTCACTTCCCAACACTGAACATCCCTGCTCAATGAAAAAGAGGGGACTCTGACCCTTCCTCTTCCCTGGCTCCAACCTCCCCCGCAAGAGATGCTCAGATTTTTCACAGAAATGCTGTGCCATTTGGCTCTGTTCCCACCTAGGTGGAGGAGCCTCAACCTGAGCTGGCAACACCAGCCTTTATTTTCAACCACTTTTTAATTCATGCCACACTAAACTTACCATAGGTCCTCAACTCTTGAGCTTCCTGGAAAAGTGCGTTTTTCCACAAGCACAAAGATTGAGTCCCCTTGTCTAGTCCAAGACACAAGAGGCTCAAGAATCGACCTGCATCAGAACAACCCACATCGACTCCATGTGTTTATTTATTACTGAATTCACTGGTAAAGACAAGCTGAGTTATCATTTCTCTAAGAAAACCTGAGAGGCATTTGTGTTCATGAAGCACAGACACTGGGCAAGCCTAGAGAAAGCGTTTTATGCACACTGCCCAGCAAATCCCCTCACCGCGGCAGCTACCTAGGCTGAGTGAACAGACCAGGCAGAAGACAGCAGCCTTCTAGAAAGCTTACGCCCCGCCCCTAGGCCCAGCCCACTTGCCAACCCTCAAAGATTACAAATACAATCATTTGTGACAGATTGCTCCCTGTCTTCCACCTTAAATTCTCTATGATAAATTCAACACGAACTGACAGTCACAGCGAGTGTTCCCAGCTCTCTCTAAAAAAACTAATTTTACTGAAGTTAGGACTCAATGAACGAGAAAATATGAATGTACACCTAGGGCATATCTCTAAACTTTAATCTCCATGAAAGCCATAACGGTTATTTATGGTCAGGAGGATATTAATATTTTAAAAGATTTCACTAAAAAGCGCTCTGAGACTTTGAAATTGTATTGTTACACAAAGATAATAACATTTCGGTGGATCTTTCTCTGTGCTGCTATGTTAATGGGGCAAGGAGAAGGAAGCTCACTGCTTCAGATACCCCAGTGGTAGCCAGAGGAAACTATGCTTTAAAAAAATAGGAAGGAAAGAAGGTAGGAAGGGAAGGAGGGAGGGAGGGAGGGAGGGAGGGAGGGAACGAAAAAGAATCATAATGGGCTGCTATTATCTATTTAAATTAGCAAGTGCTATTAAGGAAGAGTCACCAATACACAGGCTCCAAGGACAGTAAAATTAAGGTTGCCATTTGCTTCTTGGCTACTCTGGGATTTAGTCACTCCAACAGCACGGAAACATGGGGTGAAAAGGGGCTTGTTCGTGTCCTGGTTAACGAGGACCGACTAGGTACCAAGAGGTAACTCCTGCTGGCTCTCCTGACTGGGCAAGCATTGAAGAGAGACGTATTTGAAAAAGGAAAGCTGGGTTCTACTCTGACGATAAGGTCAGGATTCTTTCCTTGTTTTTCAGCCGCCTGAGCCCGTGAACTAAAAGAGTGTTCTTTTCTTGCTGGTGTAGGTACCATTGCTCCACGCCCCATCTCAGAACCCTTGCACAATGGCTCATTCCTGTAATCCCAGTATCGAAGAGTTGGAGGCAGGGGGATTAGGAATTAGAGGCTAGCCCAAGATACCACATGAGACCTCGTCTCAAAACAAACAAAACAACACACACACACACACACACACACACACACACACACACACACACACACACACACACACACACATCTCTAGCTCATTCCCAGCAGGAGAATGCCATTTATGAGTCGTCCGAAAACAGGAGCGATTCTCCCCCAGTGCACATGCGTAAAGGTTATATTTGTGTTGTTTGATACCATTCTACTTTCTTACGGTGTCGTTCCAGGTACTAAATAGATAGGAAGAAAACATTTAACAAATGACAGAAGGGGAGGGGGGTGTGACATTTACAACCAGGGCTAGGTAGGCCATTGCAAAGGTCATCAATGAGTAAACAGGTATTAATGGTTAGCCGATAACTGGCTCATAAGCCACTCACATTAATAATTAACAGCAGCAACAGCCGCACTTTCAAGCACACTTGGGCAACTGCGAGCCTCAGGAACAGGCCCAGAAAAAATGCAGATGACGTGCTTTCTGGTTGTCAGAGGCTGGGACACTCGCTTTTGCATTTATCACGTTGATACCAAAACCCATTTTTAAGACGATCGAGTTAAAAAGCACAAAGAAAAGTGGGTTGCTAGAGCTGACCATTTCTTCAGTGCATAGTACTTAATCCAACATTTAAGAACCACCTTGTTTTCCTTCCATAGGGATGTGTAAAAATCACTCAGAACTTTATCACTACCGTACACACTCTGAAACTCTGAAAATAGAAGCTTCCGTCTCACATGTAAACTTCTAAGTTAAATGTAACTTCTAAGACTGGCATCTCTAGTTCCCTGCTCTGATGTAGCCCAAGGTGGCCTTGAACTCCTGATCCTTTAGCCTATGCCTCTCTGGAGCTGAGATCAGGGTATACATCCCTATCCCTGGCCACTCCGGGGTGTTTGACAGGGGAAAGTGAAGTCCAGAACTCTGGGCGTGAGAGCAAAGGTTCCAGAAGGCAGGAAAGCAGGCGACTAGGACATGTCTCCTAAGGGTGTAAAGGAAACGGGGAACAGAGATGCCGGAGTCCCCACAGAGTGCTGCACTGTGAGCCCAGGCCTGAGACCTGCGCCAGTGTTGAAGGACACTGATGTTCTGTGGACTCTCTAACCGCCGGACTTCTACACGTTCTTACTTCATGGAAACCTGCTAAAGCTGAACAACAGGCATCTTCTGCAGGCCACCTGAGGCCAACTTAAATCTCCTGTTCGCTTTTTTTTTTTTTTTTGAAAAGTGAGTGAATGCACAAATGAAGAAATGAAGTTCCCAAATGGTGGCCAAGAAAAAGCAGGGTGGAAAAAATCTTTAACCATGATTATAGTTTTCTCTCCTCCTCCTCTCCCAGCTCTTTTCCCTCCTCCCCCTCCTCCTCTTGCCATCCTCCCCCCTCCCCACTTACCTTCTTTGAGACTTGTCTTGCTGTATAATCCAGGCTGGCCTGAACCTCACAGCTGTCTTCCTGTCTTAACATCTCAAGTGCTGGAGTTACAGGAATAAGCCACCGAGCCCAGCTTTCTCGTCTTCTTTTTTTAATGTACAACTGTAATAGACTGTAAGAATATTATAAAAACCAAAATGAACAAACTAAGTCAATACATATAATAAGGAAACACATTATCAGCAGAGACCTACAATCCCTCAGCACCATGTGAGTAAAATTCACACTGTGGTATTTTTAACATGGGACTTACAGATGAATGACCAGCACTGCTTTCACATACAATGGGGAGAAACCAGTTGTTTCAATAAACGTATAGCTTAACTATCGAGCCCACAGGAGATACCGTGATGTACCCAACCCGAAAATCAAATTATTTAAGGTTGGTTATACTAATAAAAGCCGCGAACCGTCTTGCTAAGGTGGACTGTAAAACCAAGCAGGCCAAAGGCACAAACGAGAGTGTTTGGAAGGGAGGAGATGAAAGAAGGCACAGGCCTGATTGCCTGGTTGCCAGGGGCACACGGAAGAAAACTAGGGGGATCTGAGCAAAGGAGGGGTGCTCAAGCAGTGTTTCTGAGCCTGCCACTGAAGGGCCAGCAAGGATCTAATGACTTCATAATCTGATTGCCCGCTACTTCACACCCGTAGCTTACCTTGTGAGTTTCTGTCATCATGGACCAGAGGTCCAATGAGAGGGGTTGTCCCATCTGTCTCACAGAGTCTTCTCTGCATCACTCTTGCTTTGGGCATGGGCATCTGTAAAGTTCAGCTGTCTCCACACAGCTCTTCTTCCAGAAAACCTCAACTGAGCCTTCTCCGATGGGTCAAGAGAACTCTCTTTTGTCATTCCCCAAGTGATTTGCTTCCTTCGTGCAGGCGAAGGATACTGTTTGCATCATTTGACCGCATGTGATAGTCCACTTTCTGTTGTTGTAACAGAACTCATGGGGCTGGGTAATTTATAAAGAGCATAGGTATATTTGGGAACAGAGTTTGGGATCCCGAAAAGCTCAAGGTCAGGAGGCCATGTCTGATAAGGACCCATGGTGCTTCACTGTACGGTGGAAAACAGAAGGACAAGGGGACATGGAAAGAAGGGAGGATACGGAGCCAAACTCCCATGACAGCTCAACACACTACTGCCATGGGACCACACCTCAGCATCAGCTTTGATGGGCAGGGACCAGATTTTCTCCAGGATGAGAGTGGTAGTGCCCACCTTTAATCCCCAGCACTCAGGAGGCAGAAGCGGGCAAATCTCTGTGAGTTTGAAGCCAGCCTGATCTACAAAGAGAGTTCTAGGCAAACCAAGACTGCATACTGAGACTATGTCTCAAACAAAACAAAAAACAAGCCAGGACAGGAAAGAAGAAAAAGAGAGCCTGCTGGCAGGCTATCATTTGCTCTGCTCTCTAAATAACTAGTTTTATTTATTTTACTGGGCATTTACTGTATAAGCCTATGAAGTAGCTCACATTGTCCTTTTTCATGCAAGGAATCTGGTATCACTGAGTTGGTTATCATGCAAAGGATACACAGTGCATTATGGGACGAGCCAGTACCCTTACCCAGAATTCCACACTACCTCCCTATGACAAGACCTCCACTCGAAAAGCTAAGTGTCTCCAGCGTCTGTGACAAGACAGCATCAATGGCTTTGATTTTAGCCCAATCCCTAGACCATAGGTGTGGATATACTGGGGTTCAAGGAGAAGGGCATGGTCAAATCCAGAGAAAGAGAGTAAAAAAGTGTGTGTGAGAAAATGGCAGGCTGTCGAAATAGCTCAGTGTTCAAGAGAGCCAAGATAAGGAATTGATGGAGGTGTTCATCAATAGATGGATAAAGTGTGATATAGATATGTGTGTGTCACATATGTATCATATATACCTCAAGTCTCTCTCTCTCTCTCTCTCTCTCTCTCTCTCTCTCTCTCTCTCTCTCTCTCACACACACACACACACACACACATTAGAGTACTATTCAGGCATTAAAATGTATAAGACATTGTCATTTGTGGCAGCGTGGATGGATCTGGAGAGTGTTGTTTGCAGTAGAATAGCAGGCACTGGAGGACAGGAACCACAAAAATGTCACCCCTGTGGAATCTTAGGGAGGCAGAGAGTAGAAGAGTAGTCACCACAGACTGGGAAGGAAGAAAGGGAGGTAGGGGTAGAGAGTTTGTTAGTGGGTACAAGGGTGCACCTGAAAAGGAGAAATGGCTTCTGGACTTCTGTAGCTTGATAGGATGACAGCTTTAATCAGCTTTCCATCATTAGAAAGAGATACCCAAGACAACTGACTTCTAACAAGGGGTGGCTTCTTTTGAACATTTGGATGATATTTTTGGAGGCCCCACCCTCTGAGCAAGCAAAACCACTGTTTTAAGGCCTCCAGTACGGAGGCCAGATGACCACAGTAAAAGAGCATGGCAGAACAAACTTCATGGCTAGAAGGCTAAAGAGAAAGAAGAAGTGGACATAGTCCTCCAGACCATTCAGCGGCATGCCCCCAAAGACCTAAGAAACCACCCATTCATCCTCACCTTCTAACACACAGTACCACTCTGGTACCAAACCTTTAACATGTGGACTTTAGGGGGCCAGTGAGCCGTGGCATTGTGAAAATAACAATTAATTGTGTATTTTAGAATAGCTAACAGAGAGGATTCTTAATGTTCCTGTACAAAGAAATGGCAAGTGCCCAGGAGGTTGATGTACAGTGAGCTAGTGACTACACATTCAATAGATAGACTGAAACACAACACTGTAACTCCTGATTGTCCACAACTATTTACCAATTGAAATTATTTTTTAAAAATTTTAAGTGGCTCCCATTTATCAACTTCACAAGTTAGTTATATCCCATCTGCAAATCTTCATTCTATTTACAAATATATCTTATGGTTCATAAATATCTGTGTATATGTGGTGTGTGTGTGTGTGTACAATGTATGTAAAGGCCAAAGGTTGAAATCATGTGTCTTCCTCAATCACTTTCTAGCTAATTGAGAGAGATGGGTCTCTCACCCAATCTAGAACATTCCAATTCAGCTAAAGCTAGATGGGCCAGAAAGTCCCAGGGATTTAGTCTCTCTCTTCCCAGTGTTTTGATTACAGCCATGCACCACAGCACCTATTTTATACTTGGGGATTCTAGGGGATGAAACACAGGTCTTAATGCCAGCACGACAAGCTCGCTACTCAAGCTCGCTACTCACTGAGCCATCTCCCTAGCTGCATAATTTGTTTCGATTATTTTTTTTCTGTGTAACATCTAAAATTTTACAAAACTTGCATGTAATTTCAGTTCACATGGAATTATATCTTACATAACTAAGCAAAGTTTTCTCTTCAGAAAACACAGATGACCTTTCTCTTAGGTAAGAGACCAAGACTGTCGACTGAATCCCTGACAGGAAAAGCAGTGTTAGACAAAGAAAATCCTCATAAACAATAATTAGAATAATAATTAAATGCCAGAAAAGGGCAAAGGCATGTGCTCTCTTAAAAACCTTAGGAGAGAATGAACGAGGATAAACCCGCTGTGAAAGCCTCTTGGGCTATCTTTAAAAGCTTTCCCAAATTTCCAATGGCTGTTATTAGCGGTTCTTAATGCATGAGGTCGTCATTTCAGAATAAATCTTTCAGTAATTCCAAACAAGGACTCTTCAGTAAATAGTTGAAATTAAGGGGAGAGTCCGAGTCATCTGGTTTCCATTAGGATGATAAAATAGTTCACTTGAAACCTTTTACAATACTCTTTGTTACAGGGAGGTGTCTGCACAGCTCACTCCATCACTGGCCATTTGACACAACATAAAAAGCTTCAAAAGCCATGTTAGGCCTCTTAATCAAAAACTAATTGTAATAGATACTGGGGAGTGTTAACACGGTGACCGCGAGGTTGTAGCAGTGGTGTGGAAGCGGCAGTGAACATTAAACACAACCCAGGGTGGATAGGGCTTATCTCAATTTCAGAGCTCAGCGCTAAGTACCGCCCGCCAGTATCTCCTGGCTCTTGCTTTGTGCCACTTTTGGAGTTAATTGCCCCGTAAGGCTCCATCTTCTTAATGAAATTTATAACACTGTCAAAGATCTTGGAAGACATGGCTACAGTTTAGGAGACTTTACAGAAAACAGAGATATAAACAGAGGGGAAAAGAAAACACATACTAGGAGCCTAATGCATGCCAGGCTGGACAGAGCTGGTGCAAGGCTCCCAGGCATGGAGGGGGGGGGGGAGCATCCTCAGCACGTTAACTCTTTCAAGCCTGGGATGAGATCCTCTTTGAGGAGTTCTAATGGAAGGCAGTAGCTGGTATTATAGGGCCAATGTTAGGGTTCACTGGTGAGATTTATAAGGCTGGAACTGCCAGCAAGCCAGGAGGCTGGACACACTTTGGTTCCTGCCCCTGTGTCAACAACACAGCCCATGCTCATCAATACTTCCAGGACCGATGATTGAATAAATAATCTTCGTACGTAGGATGGAGTTCTTCATAATTTTCAGGGTCTTTTAATGTTAGCTCCCTACAATCACTGCCTTGACAAAGCCAGGGTTTCATTAATCACCCACCTGGTCACAGATGGCCACTCCATAGCTCCCGTTCCAACCTTCTTCATGCTCACCACCCCTGAAAAAGGAGTGGATTAAAAAGTTAAAGAGTACAGGCAATTCGAGATGGTGGATTAAATCTTAAAACAGAAAAAGGAAGAAGTGGAGAAAAGGGGGAGACAGAAGGAGAAGACAGAAAAGGAGAAGAAAGGGGAGAATGCTGGTGAAATCTCATCAAGACTGGAGCTTAATTAACAGTCCTGCTCTTAATTGTACCTACTTTCTTAGTCTCATGATGTCATAAAAGGCTACCATGGAGGCAAGCTGGAAGAAAGTGTATTGAAAATTTCAGTGGCATTTTGCATTTTTTTCTGTAATTCTAATGCCATCCTAGCATTTAAAAAAAATGAAGATAACTGATTTGCTACGAGAAAGATAAGTATGTCATTGTGCCTAACTGGCACTCAGATTATCTAGGTCTCACCGGTGAGTCCATACAGTCGCATCAGTAAGCCCTGGGTCACAGCCAGAGACTCGGGCTCACAAAAGCAGCTTCTGAAGAACAAAACCTCAGACTAACATATATATACACTTGTACATGCATCTGCACATGTGTGTACCTACATACACATGACCACACATATGCCTGCACAACCACACACAAATGAAATCATTGCCACTGTTTTTCTTACTTATAGAAACACTAACATTAAAGCTAATTTTAAATGGTTTGATTTTTTTACAAAATAAATGATTATTTAAAAAATAGAAAAAGCTGAAGTGCACATGGAGCCTTGGTGTGGGAATCTAATGATGACTGTAGAATAGCCCAGTACTTCAGCTGTCATATCTTTCATGATTTCCAAGTGCAGGCTTCTGGCTTGGACATCTGCCCTGTGCTTCAACCCAAATACCTGCACTCCACACACATCATGCAAATCTCTGCTCTTGTTCTTTACTGCATTTTCTGCTGTTGGTGCATGTGACCAACTTCACCACTGTGCTTTCTAGTCCCAGGAGGAAAGGACTGTGCCCTTAGCTGTTCATCTGAAACCATCTGAGCCTAGATCCAAAGAAAGGAAAAGCTGCATATATTTTTATTGATCATGATGCCCAAGATGTTATTTTATAAATTGAAATGGTTGGACTACTTTAAAGTGCCAATGACTAATGCATGATGGAGAGTTTGGTTTCCCTTGGCATTGGAGAGATTAGGAAATTGGCACTACAGCACAGCCTAGGGTGTGTGGCTCTTGACAGCCTATCCAAAGGTAGCTCAGTACCCCATGTGTGTGCACTTCAGCTTACCTAAAATTGGAGGAGGAGGTAAAGGGCCAGCAATTTCCTTTTATGGTGTTATATAGTGAAGACAAATGGCTACACCTGCCTGCAAGGGCACCTGGGAAATATATTCCAGTGACAAGGTCTTCTAACCATCTAAAAAGGACAGGAAGAAATGGGTATTAGTGGTCAATTTTGAACCCAGCCAGTTATTATGTCTTAGAGAAATTAACCACTTAGAACCTGACACTGTGCCTGTAATCCCTATGTCAACTAGCAGTCCCTAGTTCAATACACATCACTAACCTACTTTCTGACTCTGTCGATTTTCCTGTTCTCCACGTTTCCTAT